ACAAACATAGTTAGCTCTCCGTTTACTTAAATTTTCTTTAACTTGAGTCAGAGATGTTTCTATGGCATTCAGTGTACACATCTTGTAGCTCTTTTATTATATTTATCTCTAAGTATTTCATTTTTGATGCTGTAGTATATTTTTTAAAATTTTAATTTCCAACTGTTCATTGCTAGTATATAGAAATAGAATTGATTTTTGTATAATGATCTCATATCGCACAACCTTGCTAACCTCACTTATTAGTTCGAGTAGTTTTCCTTTACATTGGATTTTCTACATAGATGGTAATGGTCAGCTAACCGCGCCCCCCCCATAAAAGGCAGTTTTACCACTTTCTAATCTGCATGCTTTTGCTTTCTTTTTCTTGCCTGATTGCACTGGATAGAACCTCCATTATAATGCTGAATGGAAATGATGAGAGTAGACATCATTGCCTTTTTCCTTGTCTTGGAGAGAGAGCATTCCATCATTCATCATTAAGTATGATGTTAACTCGGGATTTTTCACAGAAGCCCTTTATCAGGTTGAAGAAATTCCTTCAATTTCAAGGTTTCTGAGAGTTTTTAATCAGTGATGGGTATTGGATTTTGTCAGATGTTTTTTCTGTATCTCTTGAGGTGATTATATGGTTTGTCTTTTTTAGTCTGCAAAAAGTCTTTTTTAGTCTGTGAATTACATTTTTGAATGTTAAATCAACTTTGCATTTTTGAGATAAATCCCACTTGCTTGTGATATAGTATCCTTTTTTGTATATTGTTGCATTCAGTTTGCTAAAATTTTGTTAAGAATTTTTGTATCCGTGTTCATGAGAGATATTGGTCTGTGGTTTTCTTGTTTTGTTTTTTTTTCCTCTGGTTTTGGTATCAGGGTGGAATGTGTTGGTGAGTATTCCCTTCAATAGTCTGGGAGAGTTTGTAAAGAATTGGTATTATTTAGGGGCGCCTGGGTGGCTCAGTCGTTAAGCGTCTGCCTCCGGCTCAGGTCATGATCCCAGGGTCCTGGGATCGAGCCCCGCATCGGGCTCCCTGCTCCGCGGGAAGCCTGCTTCTCCCTCTCCCACTCCCCCTGCTTGTGTTCCCTCTCTCGCTGTCTCTCTGTCAAATAAATAAATAAAATCTTTAAAAATAAAAAAGAATTGGTATTATTTATTTAAGGGTTTGGTGCAATTCCCCAGTGAAGCCTTCTGGCCTAGAGTTTTCTTTATGAGAAGATTTTTAACTACAAATTTCACTTTCTTTGATAAATACAGAGCTACTCAAGTTACCTGTTTCTTCTTGAGTGAGCCACATTATTTTGGGGTACATAAAGGAAAACTGCTGTACTCTGAGTGCATTTGTACTCTGGTCATCAAATGTGTGGTAATTTTCCCCCACATCAAGCAATTATCTGCAACACCAGCTTGTGGGGGGCGGGGTGTGGGAATCTACAATTCAATTCAATTCTGATATATCTATTTGAAGATGGCCTCAGACCCTACAGGTTAAGGGTTTAGTCTCACAAGACATTCCCCCCGCCTTCCGACTTCAGATGCCAATCACAAGTCCCAGATTGTCAGTATACTTCTGACTGATTGCCTGTAAATCAGAGTTCCCATGCCCCCCTCCTTGGGTCTGGTTATTTGCTAGAATGGTTCACAGAACTCAGAGCAACACATTTACCAGTTTGTTGTAAAATAATATAATAAGGAATACAGACATATACTTAAATATACTCATATGTAAGTGTATGCATACATGTATATATACATATATAAAAACACATACATGAATGTATATTAATTATGCATACACAATTTGCTTATTTTTAATGCAAAAACAAACCCCGGAAGGATAAACCAGAAACTAAAATAAATTAATGGACATGGGAACAGGGGATGAGGAGAACAAATTGGAGGGTATAAGAAGATTTCTTTGGGGATGATTTTATTCTGTCCACATAATGGTGACTTTTGAACCATGTGAGGTATTGCATATTCAGATATTAAATAAAATCCAAAGAAAAACAAAAGAAACTCTAGAATTGAAAACAAGCTGAAATAAGTCCACACATACATCAAATGTGTAATATAATCACATGTCTGTTGGTGCACACTTGCATATATTTCAGTTGGATATTGTTTTGGGGGATTGCACAACTATCCTCAACTTCCATGATCTCCAAGAGGGACTTGTAAGACTCAGTAACAGCTAATATTTACAGATAAGATTTATTACAGCAAAAGATACAGAAAAAAAGCCTCTGTATGATCTGCTGGTGGTGAATTGTCACAGTTTATGTTTCTCTGAAATACCTTTATTTCCTCATCATTGCTGAAAGATATTTTTCCAGGTTGTGTTTCAACCCATTCAGATACCGTTCCATTGTCTTCTGGCTTCCATTGTTTCTCTTGAGAGTCAGCTAACAATTGAATTGCTGACACGATGAAAGTAACAAGTAACTGCTTTTTTCCCCCCTCTCTGATTGTCTTTAAGATTTTTCTCTTGCCTTTGGTTTTCAGCACTGGTACCCTGCTGTGTCTGTCATTATTGCTTTATCTTCTCTGGGGTTCATTGTGCTTCTTAAATATGTATGAATCAAAGTCCTTCATCACATTGAACAAATTCTCTATTATTGCATCTTCTGCCCCATTTACCTTCTCCTGATCATCTGAGACCCCTGACAAACGTATGTCAGATCTTATTATTATATTCTCTATAGCTTTCAGTCTGTTTTGTATTTTCCATCTCTGTATCTTTCTTTCATTGTAGGCAGAGCTGTTTTCCTCTGAACTGTTGCTCAACAGATCTTCTACTGTGCCTGATCTGCTGTGAAACCCCTCCATTAACTACTGATTGTAGTTGTTACATTAATTTAGATTTAGAACTTCATTTTGTACTTCTATCTTCATTTTTTCATAGTTTCTAGCTTGAAATGTTTTGCTTTTATTTATTGCCTTCATTAGCATAGTAAGTATAGTTATTTTGAAATCCTTTGGATAATCTGTTTGGAGCCCTTATGAGTCTGTCACTATTACCTATTATTTTCTGCTGGTTTCACTGGTACTTGTTTATGTCGGCATCTTTCCTTATGTGCCAGGTGACATTTGATAGCTTGATAGAGCATGTATTTGAGAAATTGTGGGTTTTTTTAAAAAAAAGATTTTATTTATTTGAGAGAGAGAGAGAGCATGAGTGGGGGAAGGGGCAGAGGGAGAAGCAGACTCCTCACTGAGCAGGGAGCCCCATGCGGGGCTTGATCCCAAGACCCTGGGATCATGACCTGAGCCAAAGGCAGACACTCAGCTGACTGAACCACCCAGGCACCCTCTGCATTTTTTTAATTGAAGTATTAGATGGTATCTTTTTCTGAGGATTTTTGCTTGCTTATACCAGGGACTTGGAATCGTGAGCAGAATAGAATGATCTGAATAAATGTTAAGGACTGAGATTTTGGGGGACCCACCCAGTTGACTTAAAATTTGGCTGCGGTTATTCAAGTTCTGATCTATTTCTGGTTCATTCTTATCTTTAAGATTCAACCATCTTTGACCCCAACCCAAATAAGATTGGAGGATTTAACATGGCCTTCTCTTTGGTGGGCCCTGGCTTCCAACTTTTGTCCCCCAAGCCTCACCTCACATGGTTGTCAAAAGTGCTACTCATCTCCTTTGATACTTTTTCTGGAATTAGCAAATGCTCCTGAGGCAAAGTTGCTTTACTTGCTGGGCTCACCCACTTGAAACTTAAGTGTCCCCCCACATCCTGGCTTCAGAGCTCTTTATTTCCTTGTTAGGTCTCCAATATAGTCAAGTAGATACTCTTTAAATCCCATTTTTAAATTTTTCTCTATGAGAAGTTAGGCTCAGATTACCCCCACTTTCCATTATCATAAATGGAAGTTTCTTTTTCTCTTTCAAGATATTATAGAATATTCTCTAAAATTGTCAAAAAGCTACCCTTCCGAAAAGGACTTAGACAGGAAAGCCCCCAGGGGAGTTTAGATGAATGTGTCAAGAGCAGAATATTATAGTGCTGTATTCACTGCTCCCAAGCATGGGAAAAGGAGGAAAACTTTCAAATTCTATTTGTGATGCCAGCATATCACTGACTCTAAAACTTGACAGAGGGAGGGTACCTGGGTGGCTCAGTCGTTAAGCGTCTATCTTCAGCTCAGGTCATGATCTCAGGGTCCTGGGATCAAGCCCCGCATCAGGCTCCCTGCTCAGCGGGCAGTCTGCTTCTCCTTCTGCCCCTCCCCCTGCTTAAGATCTCTCTCTCATTCTCCCTCTACCAAATAAATAAATAAAATCTTAGAAAAAAAAAAACTTGACAGAGGGTGCACACACACAGAGAATTCTAGAATCTTCAGTAATAAATACCATCTCCAGGAAAGTCAGTCTTCATACTGGTTTTAGGGCACAATTCATTTGAAGTTGATCCTATTCTCCAATTTAAAAATGGAAATTAAGTGAAGTAATAGAAAGTATTTATTTGAGGAGCTAAGTTGGGTTGCATTTTGTGGCTGGATTAAAGGATTGCCAAGAGTCCAGCAAGGCCTCCATCAGTACAAGGAAAGAGGGTGTATACATGGGGAGCAGACTTGGGTCAGATCCATGCCCAGCTGATCCACCTCTTACGACTTCCTATCTGTAAGGTGGAAAAATGAATGCTCAGGAGGTAGTTGAGGATTCAGTGAGAAAATGTTTGTAAAGAGCCTGTACTCAACAAATCCTAGATTTTCCTCTCCCTGCCCATTTGTCTAGATTGTAGGATTAAGTGCAGTTTCCAGGTTCCCCGAGGGACTGAGTCTATAGAACCTTGGGGGTGGGTATGTGCGGAGCGAGGATGGGGGTGATTCTCAAGGGAGCTGAGCCAAGGCCCATGCGTATCTTCGAGGAAATGGTAAGTGCCAATGGTTGGGGTAGTGGTTCTGCCAAGAGAAGAGCTTATGGAACAGGGAGCCCTACTCATTGCTTCGTGAGAAAGGGATTCTTTGACTGACTCTTATTTACATTTCAGGCTCATGGGAGAAAAGACTAGAAATGTTGGAAGAGGGATAAATATTGCCATTGTCAATTGTGAGTTATTAAATGTTCTCTTTCAAACTTCTCTAAAAGTTCCATTGATTGGATTTTCAAAGATACCTTGGGTTTTTGAGGATTTTTGCAAATGATCTAGTCTAGGCTTATTTTTTAAAGCATTTTAAAATTATTTGATTATTTTTACAAAACCTCACTTTACAGATTGTGGTTCCTGGAAAAAAAACAAAAACAAAAAAGAGTCCGAGGCTCCTGGCTGGCTCAGAGGAACGTAGGACTCTTAATCTCAGGGTCCTGAGTTCGAGCCCCATGTTGTATGTAGAAATTACTAAAAAGAAATGAACTTAAAAAAAAAAAAAGATATAAATAGGCTTTTAAAACACCAAAAAAGGACAGCAGAAGGCAGGGGTCAAATCAGATAAGCAGGCTGTGGGGGCACAGACAATTCTGGAGTCGCCCTTGGATTCCTGGTGACGTTGCAGAGGGTAACCAGCAGCCCGTGCCCACCTCTGTGAGAAAAGCCAGCTAGGGCCTCGGGGAAGCACAGCTTGCCTTCCTCTTAGGCCTGGGGAAGACATCCTGTCACAGTTGCCACTGGGGGCCCGTGACCTTGAGACCTGTCGGAGGTTGGGGAAAGGGTTCTGTGTGCCGTGCCTGGGAGCACACAGAGTGCGCAGTCCCCTGACCTCAGGGCTGTGGGACAGAGACAAAACACACCCACTCTGAGAATCCCGCCGGAAAACCTAAAGTACGAAGCTGAGGGGGTTGAGGGGGGTGCTCTGGGGTTCCTGTGGGAGAGGCAGGGGCAGCAGGAAAGAGCGGAGGGTCCAACTAGCTGGAAGCCGCGGGAAGGAAGTTCTGGAGCAGCTGATAAGCCAGCTTCCCAGATGCAGGATTGTGCCGTTTGAGCACCTCGGTGCCACAGATGGACCCTGAGTCCAGTGAACGTTCTTTTAAAAACTATTTCTTTTATTTTCAGATATGACTGGGAAAGCGATAGCAACACGGTATTTTGATATGTTTGAAGGTGGTAAGAAAACTTCTCTTTTCCTATGAAAATGAATTAGAAGCATAAAGATAAAGAGAAACAAATAAAAGTGTCAAACATTCTTATTTTGTCTACGAAAAAAGTTGCCAGAAGCTCATAGGAGTGTTCTAGAACAGTCCTACACAAGCCCTCCTTGTGTCTAATTGAGTTGGTATGATCGAGTTTGAAGGCATTATCTAGAAAATGTCTTCTCTGGTCACACTTGTCCTGGGCCTTTTATTTGTGTTCCTTCACCAGATAGTAAGAGAAAACATTTTTTTAAATCAAATATATGTAAAATAATGTGATCAGCATGCAGCCCTGAGCATCACCGTTGTTCCCGCGTCCTGTTCATGCCGCCCCCTGCGCTCAGTGCACACGTCCCCGGGACGCACGGTGCACGTTCTCCTTCTATGGTCTCTCCAGTCTGAGCACTGGGCTTGAGCACAGAGGTCAGTCAGGATATAGGAGCCCCTTCTATTTTTATTGAGCAGTGAGAATTATTTAAAACAAGGCTTTATAAAGAGAACAGAGTAATAAATGTCTGGACAGGGACTTGATGGGAACTGTGCAATAAATGCCCCAGTGGGAAATAATGGGGTTTGAGATTAGCCTTCCTTTTGTAGCTGTGAGGCACAGATTCGTCTCTTAGCAAAGACTTGCCGTGCTCAGTCTGGTCTGCAAGTCTGATTTCTCACCCCCATTCTGCACGTTAGTGCCCCGGGACCACTCTGTTGTGGTCATTGCAGAGAATGCCCCACCTGTGCCGGCCACGTCGGTGGCCTTGAGTTAGATTCATAGAATCTCCATGAGCCGCTCATGCCCCTCACCTCTGCTGGTCCCACCGTGGAGCCCAGCAGCCAATCACTAGTGGAGATGAGCTCCAGGCATTGGAGGATTCAGAGAGGACGCGGCAGCTAAGCGCAGAGGAGGGACAGTGTCCCAGGCAAGCGAACAAGGAAGACCCTAAAACCGGTTTGCATTGACCCAACAGATAACTCTGGACCGATGACGAACTTTATTCATAGTGCACCTCCAAAGTCCCTGCTCTTCATGGTGACCCAAGATGACGGTGCGAGCAGGTGAGTGTGGACCGATTTGTCACAGTGGGGAGACGGGGGAAGCCAGCTGGTGGAGAGCACCAGGCCTGTCAGGGCCCCTGAGGAGCATCTTCTAGGAAAGAATGCAAATCCAAGGAGCAAGTTGCTTTCCTAAGGAGAAGGAATGGGAGCTCATGACAAAGCAGACTGTGTTTCTAAAAAAAAAAAAAAAAAACCTGAGTAGCCAGCGGAGTACATAAGTCCAAGAAGCTAAGGAACATTCTCAGGTAGCAAGACAGAACCGCCACGGACCATAATTGGGACAGAAAAGCTAAACCCAGGGTGGGGCTTACAGAAATAGGAAAGGAAATTGAGAAGAATTCTCTATATGAATAGCAATTGAATGAAAAGGAAACACACACACACACAACTTCCTGAGGGAGAAGTTGGTTTGGCTCCTGTGTTGCTCGGAAGTTTGCTGTTCTGAGTAAGCACACGTGTTCACGGCCAGACTTCCAAGGATCCCAGAGTACTTCTGTGCCTTGTGAGTTTCAAGGTGGCTCGTGAACATGGCATCCCCCAAATTTATTTGACCTCAGATCTTGTTTTTAATGGAGCATCTTACCAGACAGAAGTTATCTGTCCAAGATACACACTTGGAAGAATTCCAATTTAACTCAGGAAAATCTGGGCACTTTTTTTTTTTTCTTTTCCTTTCTGCCCTCCTTCCTTTGCTTACTCTAAGTTGCCCACTTTTACAATGGTAGCGTTGTTTTAGATTTTTGTTTTCTTTTTTGATACTGTTCTGAAAATGAAAGGGACCATTTTGACCTGTCCTTTCATCTTTCAGCAACTTCTGTCTGCCTCCTTTTGTGGTCATTGAACAAGAGGGGCAGCAAAGACTCAAAATTATGATGGCTGAACATGAGGATGTGATTGGATCCCAAGACACAGGGATTTGAGAATTGAGAAGTAAAACTCTGTCCCAAACTGAAGCTTAAAGAGTCCCTGATATCGTCACATGATTAACTAGAAATTTGCCGTCCTCCCGCTGTATGCCCCAGGAGGAAGTGGGTTGTTCTAGAAGCCTCTTTCCTAGGACTACGGCAGTGTGACACACCAGAGTCTCTGCCTGCGACATTCACACGCCCTCTTCCTCTTCCTCCAGGCTGAAGGAGGACGCCAAGAAGGTCATAGAAGCACTTGGAAGTAAACAAATCAGGAACATTCGGTTCAGGTCAAGCTGGGTATTTCTCACAGCAAAAGGCTTTGAGCTTCCTGCAGACATTCAGAGAGAAAATGTGAGTGCTTTTTAAATGTCGCTTCCCACAAGTGGTTAGTAGAGGATGCCCTGTGATTTGAAAGGTTGTAGGTCGGTGATGGCTCCCTGCCTCCAAGACATTCCTGTGCAAAACGCGTGCCACACAGGGCCTTGAGGAGCCGGCTGCCTGGGTTTGAGCCCTCGCTTCTCTCATGGTAATGTGCCTGAGACTCTGCATTCCTGAGTCCCGGGCGAATCATGATAGGTGCCTGATACGTCATTGTAAGTAAAATAGTCCATCATAACCATCTTGTAGACCTTGCCCATTACATAAGGAAGAGGCACTCGACTGAAGTTCACTCTTTCCAAATCTCTTTAAAAGTAGAAGATTCTTTTTTTTCCTGAAGATTTTACTTATTTATTTGAGAGAGAGCACGAGCAAGGGGGAGGGGCAGAGGGAGAAGCAGACTCCCCGCTGAGGAAGGAGCCCGATGCGGGACCCATCCCTGGGACCCCGGGACCATGACCCGAGCTGAAGACAGAGGCTCAACTGACTGAGCCACCCAGGCACCCAAAAGTAGAAGATGATTAATGGGCTGTTGGTCCCACCTTTCTGTCATGGGGCAGCCAACACAGGCTGTGGCAAGCCTCTCCATCCCTTGCCTCTGTTCGGAGGCTGGTAACAGTGCTGGGTAATGGGGCTAACCCAGCCTGTGCGCTCGGGTGCCAAACACACGCCGGACAGACAGCTCGCATTGTTGCCGTAGCTCAGCGCACGATTGATTATAAGCGCCCCCCATCATGTCCTCTTTATGGAAGAATAGTAAAGAGCTAGAGAATCAAGTTCTAATGAATTAACTTGGTCGCCTGTGAAAACTCCAACTGAGCATTGGCAAATGTTGTTGGAGTCGCAAGCTGGTGCCTCTGGGGACGGTCACACAGCCTCTTTGGGAGACACGGCTCTTTAGGAGACAGGACAGTTTCCAGAGAGGAAGGATTAGCAGCACGGCCATGGAGTGGAGTCACCGACTCTTCCCAGGAGAAGGGCGTCCCTTCCAGGAACCAGAAACTCAAAGGAGGCAGAGATTGGATGTCTCTAGGCCGTCCAAGAGGCTGCTTCCGACTTCAGGCTAGGACCCGGTGCCCTAGCATAGACTCCTCGGAACTAATGATTGGGTCTAGACACCCAGTGTACAGTCAAGATCTCAGGGACTTGTCCTCATAAGAGGCGTTCCCTGGGCTCTGCGTGGTGGCACCACCTGGGCCACACCGCCTAGTGTGGTAAGCCAGGCACAGCTGGGGGAGGGTGCTTGGCACCCAGTATCAGATTTGCCAGAACAGCAGACTGAGGCCCACAGAGGTCAAGTAGTTTGCTGCTCTGGACAATAAGATGAAAGCTGGGCAGCTCCTCAGGGCCCAGCGGCTCTGATGTGGGACGCACCCCACCAACCCGTGGCCTTGGTCAGGTTGACCTGCCTAGTAATATAGCATCACCTCTCCTCCACCCGTGTATGATCAGTAGCAGTCTGGCATCTTAAGGATCTCCAGGCTTTATCCACTCAGCCGTGTGGTCTCAGAAAGTTACTCAACCTCTCTGTGCCTCAGAATCATCTCTCGTGAGGAAGGAATAAAGACTGTACTTATCACATAAGGGTCCCTGAGGATTAAATGAGAATAGCATGCAGGGCCCAGCAGGGACCTGAGCAGAGTCCTGGAACCCAGAGCAACTTTGCAGGCCACCTGAGCTAGAATCACAGGGTGGGGCCTGGCTGGTGATTCTGATGCACAGGAAGGGTTGGACCCATTGCACTGATGGAGTCCCAATCCCATGTGCACATCCCAGCTTCCCCCTGACATCACCTTCTGGCCACTCTGCTCCTTCTCCAGCTGTGTTACCCTGTGCCCTCCTCCCTTCACCACCACCCCCCTCCCCTGCCCAGCTCCCTCGGCCTCTCCCCACCTGCCCTGGGTCAGGGACCTGGCTAGAGCGCAGGCCAGGCCCTGTAGGAAGTGCTGCCCTCATCACTGAGTGTGTCCACGGTATCAGAAAAGCCTGGAGTGAAGCTTGAATCCCTTTTACTTGGCGTTAACCTGAGTGCAGTGAGTGGTTTTGGTGGGAGCTGTTAGTGGCTTAGGGGCACAAAAAGGGGTTTGCTCAGATGCTGGTGAGGCCTGAGCTGGGGGCCAGGGCCTCAGGATGATCTCACCCAAAGCTCGAGTCAAGTACTAATGGAGGAATCATTATGCCTTCCTGTTCTGGGTGTGCAGACTTGCTGTGTGGACTTCCCCAGGGGTGGTGTGGGGCTGTGTGGGGCAGGCCTCCCGGGCCCTGGCTGGTCCCCGGCCACTATCACCTCCATCCTGCTGCTCTTCCCAGAGCTGGCTTCCCAAGCACAGCCCACAGGTCATTCCCACGTTCAGAAGCCTTCACCAGCCCCACTCACTCACTGAACTGAATTGTAAAATGTAAGAGGCTTGTTTTCTTTTCACACTACCAGGGAGGGGTCCATACAGCGTTGTTCTGCATTCCCATCCTAACTTAAAGGGAAACTGTCCCCATGACCAGACCCCCTGATGTCCTGCAAGTGAAGGAGGAGGATGTCCTCAAATTCCTTGCAGCAGGAACCCACTTGGGTGGCACCAACATTGACTTGCAAATGGAGCAGTACATCTACAGTGTAGTGGAAAAGTGAAGGCATCCACATCATGAATCTGAGGAGAATCTGAGAAAAGCTTCCGTTGGCAGCTCATGTCATTGTTGTCATTGAAAACCTGGCTGATGTCAGTGCCCTATCATCCATGAATCCTGGCTAGTGAGCTGCGCTGCAGTGTGATGTTGCTGTCCGCCTCCTTCCTGGAACCTTCACTAACTAACCAGACCCAGGCAGCCTTCCAGGAGCCCAGACTCTGGTGGTTACTGATCGCAGGGCTGACCACCAGCCTGTCACAGAGGTGCCTTACGTTCACCTTCCCACCATCGCTCTCTGGAGCAGAGATGCCCCCCTGCACGACGTGGACATTGCCATCCCTTGCGACAACAATGGAGCTCACCCAGGGGGTCCGATGTGGGGGATGCTGGCCTAGGAAGTTCTGTGCATGCCTGGCACCATTTCCCGGGTACACACATGGGAGGTTGGGCCTGATCTCTGCTTCCACAGAGATCCTGACAAGATTGCAGAAGACAAGCAGGCCGCTACCAAAAAGGCCGCGACCCCGGAGGGATTTCAGAGTGGACGGCTCCAGCTCCAGACTGAGTTCACTGCTACGCAACCTGAAATCACAGACTCATTGAAGATGAGTAGGTGCGCTCTGTGCCTCATCAGCAGCTCCCTCCTGAAGACTCAGCCAGCCAGGAGGAAGACTAGCCTGCAGGCTCCCACTGCTCAGGCCACTGAATGGGTAGGAGCGACCACGGAGTGGTCTGAAGCTGCTCTTCCACCAAGGCAAACAAAATGGAAATAAGGTTGATGGAAAATAAACAGTTTCTAAAAAAATAATAAAAATAAAACATAAGAGACTTTAAGGCTGATTCCAGCTTTATAAAGGGGGAGGAATCCGAGACTCACAAACTAAGATTGAGGAGGATAGAAGTCTGAAGCAGCGTAACCTGCCTTTGGACCTGGACACTGTCACCCTAAGCTTTGTGACCCGAGGACTATGATGTGCCTGAGCCTCCTTGTCTTCACGCTGAACTGTGGGTGGTCAGCCTGCCCCGCTTGGTGTACCTAGCATGGGGTCATCATTAGCATCACCTCCAGCATGGTCTCCATCCTGGTCCCTAGCGATCTGGAACCAGAGCTAAGACCCCTGACTTTGCAGCCCAGCCAGTCCCCTCCTGCTCTTATTTCCATGCTGCGTATGCTCCACGCGCCAGCAAACCCGTTACCACTCCACTCTGTTCTCCTCCACACATCACAGAGCTTTCCCATGTGGGGCCTTTGGGGAGTGAGTCATGTTTTCAACAAGTGTCACTGAGTGTCACTGAGACAACTGGATATCCACATGCTGAAGAACAAATTGGGACCCCTACCTCACACCATATATAAAAATTCAGTCAAAGTGGGTCAAATAACTAGATGTAAGAGCTAGAACTACTAAACTCTCAGAGGAAAACATGACCTTGGGTTAGACAGTGGTTTCTTTGATATGACACCAAAAGCACAAACAGAAGAAAGCACAAATACCATCCACAAAGTGAAAAGGTAACCCACAGAATGGGAGAAAATATGTGCAGATGAAGGACTTGTATCCAGAATATATAAAGAACTCTTATAGCTCAATAATAAAAAGACAACCCAGTTTTTAAATGGACAAAGGATCTGACTAGGCAGCTCTTCAAAGACACATAGATGGCCAATAAGCACATGAAAAGATGCTCATCATTAGCCATTAGGAAACTGCAAATAAAAACCCCAGTGAGATACCACCTCACACTCACTGGGATGGCTGTAATACACAAGGTGTAATAAGAAGTGTGGATGAAGATGTGGAGAAATTAGAACCCTCATACACTACTGGAGGAAATGTGATATACAGCTGCTTTGGGAAATGTTCTGGCAATTCCTCAAAAAGTTAGATATACAGTTACCAGATAACCCAGCAATCCTACTCATAAATATCTACCTGAGAGAATGAAAACATATGTCCACCCAAACACTTGTATATGAATGTGCATAGCAGTATTATCCATAATAGCCAAAAAAATGGAAAACAACCCAAATGTCTGATTAATGGATTAAAAATGTATAAGAAAATGTGGGAGAGCCATTCCCTGGAATATTATGCAGCCACATAAAGAGATGACATGCCAAGCCAAGCTACAGTACCATGAACCTTCAAAATATGCTAAGTGAAGAAAACCAAACACAAAAAACACACATATTGGTATGATTCCATTTGTATGAAATTTCCAGAATAGGCAAAATCCATAGAGACAGAAAGTAGATGAGTGGCTGCCTAGGGCTGTGGACAGTGGGGAGTGCCTGCTTGTTCAGGTGATGAGAATGTTCTAAAATCATGGTGATGGTGGCGTATCTCTGTGAATACAGTAGAAACCATTGAATTGCATGCTTTAAATGGGTAAATTTTATAGTATGTGAATTGCATCTTAGTAAAGCTGTTATATAAAAAGGAATGTAAAATTAGAATTCCACAGTTCCATAACAACACAAATTATCCTTCTTACATATCAGGTTAAAGTGCTCTGTTATCTCTGAAAGAATCAAAGATGTGAAGGACTTAAGCCCACTCAGTATGAACACACATTTGCTGAGCAAGGGACTGTACAGTTTCCCTGAAAAAAAAAAAAAAATACAGCCCTACATCCAGAGAATTGAAAATTAAACATTTGAGCTATGCCAGCCAATATGGCGGCTTCTGGCCAAATTTGCATTTACCTTTACATTTATCTAAATAAAATAGAATTTAAAATTCAGTTCATCAGTCACACTAGCCAACATTTTAAGTCCTCACGAATCCGACGTGGCTGGTGGCTACTGTACTGGACAGCGTAGATGATAGAACATCTGTGTCATTGCAGAAAGTTCTAGAGCTTCATTAACACCTGGTTCAAATATTATTAAGAAAAAAAATCAAGTGCCCAGAGTAGGTTAGAGCAAATCCCGTTCTAGGCAGTGATTCTCTTTATATGACTTTGCTCGTAACTGACATGTTAAATATTTGTTGAATCGATGAGTGGATAAATACAGTTCTTTTCTTCACACAGATCAACCACTCTGACAATGCGAGGAACAGGTACTCTGGCTGGCCTGCAGAGGTACAGATAGAAGGCTGCATCCCGAAACAACCGAGCTAATGTTGCACACGGCCTTAATAAATGTGTGATGTGTAGACCCATGCAGTGTGGCCTGGCCCAAGAATCTTAGCCAACAGTCAATATTTGATGAGTTTTTGAGGTTTGTCTTCAAGTGAGCAGTACTTGCTGGTTGTATCCAATCTTGGCACACATCTCTAAGTGAAGGCATTCGTGAGCAGGAAGACTGGAATGGATGGGGATGGTGAGGGAAGGTAGGGATGTGGCCTGGAAAGAGAGGCTGGGAGGAGCAAGCCCTGCTTGTTGGGGTGCGGAACTGCCGTAGGACCGGACCTGTGGCCAGGGAGGCTGCAAACCACTGCCTAGGACTGTGGCTCAGGCCCCATTATGGACTAAACTATGTCCCTGCAAAATTCCTAAGTTGAGATCCTAACCCCTGGAATCTCAGAATGTGACCGTATTTGGAAATAGAGTTGTGGGTGTAGCATGTTAGGAGGAGTAAGGGTGGACCACGAGCCAGGGGTGATCGTGTCCGTATGCAAAGGGGGACATGGACACAGAGCATGGAGGCAAAGGTCCGGGTGATGCTTCCACAAGCCAGGAAGTCCCAGGGACACCAGCAAACCCCTAGAAGCCTGGGGAGAGGCCTGGAACAGATGCCCCCCCCCAAAACCCCGTGGGGGGTGCACAGGCGGGCCAATGCCTTGGACTTCTGGCCTCGAGACTGAGGGAGAGTAAATGTTGCTATTTAAGCCGCCCATCTGTGGGGTTTGGTATGGCCGCCCCAAGGACATGCTTACGGTTCCCTTTGGGTTCTAAGCTCTGGCGCCCATAGACATTTCTGTACTAAAGAAAGGGGGAGGGAGTATCTTTGTACTCTGGCCGGAATGACTGCATTTTCACAGCCCCATTGATCTTAGTTCACTGTCAGGGATGAGGCCTCAGGGCCTCCTGGCCAAGCATGTCCCAAAATCCTGTCCCGGGATGTGAGGCTCCTGGGCCGCCCCCGCCCCGAGATAGCGCTGGGACCCGTCAGCCTCCACTGGCACCTGCGGTGGCCCTCACGGGTACATCCCCACCTGGGGCGTGGGCCCCGGACCGTCCGTGTCCTGTTTGCTGCCCACTGGGCCCCGAGGGTGGACACGTCCCAGCCTCTGGGTGCCAGCATCCAGGAGGGCCCCGAGTCTGTTCTCACGGTGCTACCTGCTGACGCTCGGCTGCCAAGCTGACTGCCTGCCAAACAGAGCTTCCTGAAAACGTCCTCCTCAGTGGCGACCTTGGCCATATTCCCTTCATCAGGCTTGTGTTTTCTCCCCAGACTTTCATTTTATTCCATTAAATAGTATGGCCGTCAGCAGAATGGCTTTCACAACGTTAGCACATTTGAGATTTCAGGCCTGGGTCACTGCTGTGGGTCTTGTAGGCCCTGCCACTCCGTTTTCTTTCGGCAACTCTTGTGGAACGTTCCTGAAAGCATCTGCTTCCCGGCCTGCATGGGTGAGTTCACAGCCCGTGAGCAATGCCAGCAGTGGGATGGCTGTGCCCACACCGTCCTCCGCCCTCCGCTGGGGACTGCTCCCTCCCCGCAGAGCCCCATGTCCCCCACCAGCTGCCTTGCTGTGTCCTCCCCTTACTGGGAAGCCCCTCTGGCCCCCCCTGCGGGAGGGGTCAGGGGTTCTGGGGTCTGGACCAACCGGGAGGCGTGGGGACGAGGCATTTGGAGAGTGTGAGGGTGGTCAGTGAGGCGGCGGCAGCGGGGACTGAGGGGTGGGGGACCCAGCTGGAGCTCAGAGGGCCCGTATATACTGTAATGTGGGTGCGTGTCCTCATGCACCTGCCCAGACCCTCAGAATGCACATCACGGAGCGTGAACTCGACGTGAACTACGGACTCTGGGTGATGATGCATCAGTGCAGGTTTGTCGCCTGGGACGAAGTATCTCTCTGGTGGGGGAGGCTGTGCATGTGCAGGGGCAGCGGGAAATGGGAAATGTCTGTAACTTCCTCTCAATTTTGCTTTGAACCCACAACTGCAGTAAAATACAGTCTAGTAAAAAAAAAAAAAAAGCTGCCAATGACACGGAGGTGGGCAACCAGCTCTGAGCATCCTGTTGGCCCAGCCCCCATCAGGGCAAGCCGAGCCCCCATCCCCAGGGCAGAGCAGGGGTGAGCTCTCCTGGGAGGAGTGCAGACCCCGCCCCTCCCTATGGCAGGTTCAAGGACGGCAGCTTGGGAGTCCGGAAGTAGCTGACCCTTCCGGGGAGGACACCAGGGCCTCAAGCCTCTGCCTCCCTGAAGTGGGGGCATCCCCCCGCACCCCCCACTCCCACTTACCTCAGCGTTTCATTACCAAGATGCCTCGGACTTGGAACACCACAAAACTGAGAACAGAGCTTGTTCCTGACTGAGAAGAGGGTGTCACCAGCTGGGATGCTCCAGCCCCTTAAAGGACTCTGTCCCACCCAGCTCACACTGCCCGGCCTGGGGCCAGTCCCCTAGGGACAGCACCGTGCTTGAGAGCTGACATGACGTCCCCTGTGCCCAGCGCACCTGCTGCGGACCCTCCGCTACTCCTCGCGCCCATCCTGGGGTGCGGGCACCATTGTTACCCCACTGGAGAGTGAGGAGGTAGTGGGCTCTGACCTCACAGTGCCCCCTGCTACTGCACCCTACTGGAGCACACATCCCTCAAACCCCTGCCTGTCCTCGGGACTCCACAGCTCCCTCCAGCTCATTAATCCAAGCAGTTTCCATGGTCTCATTTGCACAGTTGAGAATGCCAACTTGGAAGGAAAGGGCCCTTGGAGGGTGGGTGCACGCTGGCTCCCGGGCACCGGGACCCTTTGAACACACTGGCTGCCATCCCACAGAGGCTCAGCAGGCCAGCTGGGGGGGTGCATCCTTATCCCCTGACCACCCCCACCCCCACCTCCAGCCCCAGCCCCCTGGAGCTGAGCAGAGAGCAACAGGACAGCGGTGCTGCTGAGCGTGCTCTCCCCTCGGCTGCGCATGTCACCATCGGCCAGCCGCAAGGACCCCATCCTGGCAGTTTGAGGCAGATTTATTTTTTTTTTAATTTTTTTAGTTCATTTATTTGAGAGAGAGAGAATGAGAGATAGAGAGCACGAGAGGGAAGAGGGTCAGAGGGAGAAGCAGACTCCCCGCCGAGCAGGGAGCCCGATGCGGGGCTCAATCCCAGAACCGAGATCATGACCTGAGCCGAAGGCAGTTGCTTAACCGACTGAGCCACCCAGGCGCCCCCGCATCCTGGCAGTTTGAATGTGTGGGCACCCCTGCTCCCTGCTGGAGAGGCCGCTGGGATGGGGAGCACGCAGGAGGGGAAGCTCTTCGGACAGCAGACGGAGGTCTCCCCAGCTGCTCTTGCTGCCTCCGCCTAAGATAGAGCCTCTCTGTCCAGCTTGTCCAGGGCCTTCAGGTGCCTTTCCTGGAGCTGTAGACACGCCCCGGGACTGCTAGAAAAGACATTGGTGGTGAGACAGAAAAGCACCACACTGCAAATGAGCTGCTCAGCTCCCTTCCCCGGGGCTCTGGAGTAACAGTGCTCAGCATCAGACCCTGCAGGGCACAGATCTCGAAGACTGTCTCCCCAAGACCTCTCAAGCCCAGGGTTCTTTTTTTTTTTTCTTTTAAGATTTCATTTATTTATTTGAGAGAGAGAGATAGCGAGAGAGAGCATGAGCAGGGAGAAGAGGGAGAAGCAGGCTCCCCGCGAGCAGGGCACCTGATGCGGGACTCAATCCCAGGACCCTGGGATCATGACCTGAGCTGAAGGCAGACGCTTAACCGACTGAGCCACCCAGGCGCCCCTCAAGGCCAGGATTCTAAAAACATCTTTTAAACCTTTAAATTCCTTCTTTTTTTTTTTTTAAGATTTTATTTATTCATTTGACAGAGAGAGAGACAGTGAGAGAGGGAACACAAGCAGGGGGAGCGGGAGAGGGAGAAGCAGGCTTCCCGCCAATCAGGGAGCCCGGATGCGGGGCTCGATCCCAGGACCCCGGGATCATCACCTGAGCCGAAGGCAGCCGCCTAACCTAAATTCCTTCTTTAAAGGAAAACATGCCCACAAGGGCAGTAAGTAAAATGAATGAACATAGAAGTGCTTGGGTTTGTTTTTTCATGATTTATATACAATGTTAGTTTCGATTTTGGAGGAGATCAGCCTGAGGCCTGCTTCCTCTTCCCTGTACAGTGCTGGCATCCTGGGGTTCCCCAACAGCTGTGCTCTGGTGACAGGCGTACCTGACTCATCTCTACTCAGGCGCAGAACAGGGGACCTGCAGGACCCCTGGGCGCATGCCTGCACTTTCGCAGGGGACATGACCGAGGACCAGCTGGGAACCCTCTGCAGTCTGGCCTCTGTCCGCTTCCCTGTCCCGGCAGAGAGCTCCCCCAGGGCAGGGACCCACCAGGAGCGTTAGGGTGTGCACTGAACAAGCGGGTTACTGCGGGAAGCTGCTCACTTCCCTCCTTTGGGTCTGCACAGGAATAGGATGGCAATGGTCAGCTGTGGTTCAGGCGCGCCACTGCAGGACCTCTCAGGGCGTTCAGACCACGGCCCTGCGGGCATGTGGGAGCCCCCCGGGAGGGGCTGAGAGAATCAGAATGACACCAAGCAAGACGGTCAGGTCCTCGGGCTCACTAGCCTCCGTCCGGACGCTTGGCAGCCACATTGACACCCCTCTGCAGTGGACAGCAAAGAACAGAACATTCCCATCATCACGGAATGTCCCATAGAACCGTGCTGCTCTGAGGCATCGGATCTCCAAATGGGGCCCTACACCAGCCTCCCCCAGAACTCGTCCTCTGCGATGCAGATTCTCCGGCCCCACCCCGGCCCCAGGCAGCAGCCCTCCCCACCCCCACCATGTGTGCCCCAGCCGGGACGATCCTGCCCAGCTAAGGACCCCTGTATGAGTCACGGGCAGGGGACGGGGGGGGGGGGGGGGTGTTGCAGCTTCGGTTTCATTTCTGGGGCTGGGATATCTAGTTTCATTTCTGCCAGTGCCCCGGGGGGAGTGA